CAGAATCAGAATCAGAATGAGCTTTATTGCCAGGTATGTTTACACATACGAGGAATTAGTTTTCGTGACAGAAGCTTCCACAGTGTAACAGAATGACAGTGACAGAACAAAAAAACACAGATAATTAAAAATTAAAATAAATTAAAAATAGAACAAGTAAATAAGGCATAAATCTATATATAAATCTATAAAATATAATAGACAATGTACAAAATAGCAAAAACACAATATACAAAATAGACCATTTTGGACGTACAGGTATGTTATGTGCAAATTTGAAATGAAAATAAGTATTTGTGTTAAATAAATGCATGATAGTGTTGTGTTCTCCACATTTTATTGTCAAGTGTTCATAAGATAGATTGCTTGAGGGAAGAAACTGTTCCTGTGTCTGGTCGTTCTGGTGCTCAGAGCTCTGTAGCGTCGACCAGATGGCAACAGTTCAAAGAGGGAGTGTGCTGGATGTGAGGGGTCCAGAGTGATTCTTCCAGCCCTTTTGCTCACTCTGGATGAGTACAGTTCTTGGAGAGAAGGGAGGCTTGTACCAATGGGATTGTAGGTGGGGGGAGTGAATGTACAGCGCTCTCTACGACTAAACATGACTGAGCAGTCCGGACTACCCTCTGTAGTCTTCTGAGGTCAGATTTGGTAGCTGAGCTGAACCAGACAGTTATAGAAGTGCAGAGGACAGAATATATATATATACATATATATATATACATACATACATACAATTTATGTTTTTCATACCATCATCAATCATATACACAAAGAGCAAAGAAATTGATCCAAAATGCTGCCCAGATGTTTAAATTTCTTTTTTTCTTGACATGACCACTGTTTTAGAATATGTTAGAACATATATATATATATATATATATATGTTAGTGAATTGCTGGTAATGTTTTTCATTTGAAAGTTGTTGTGGATTAAAATAATCTGGTAATGATTCAATGTAAATGTAAACAGACTAAACAACATCCATTCTGTTCAGATGTACCAATCATCACATCTTCAAATGTTCAGCACTGGAGATTGGAGCTGTATTTGGGGTTTGACTGATATTACTTGCTTGTGTAACTGAACCATGACTGCAGGAAAAGGACTCACAGACCCAGACCACACAAAGTTCCCTTACCCAAGAACGCTCTAGTCTCATTCCTTTTAACTATGTGATGCGTTATCAGATCAGCATTATCAGGAAATTACATCATTATTCTTACTGAAAGCCTTTTCAAACCAATTCCATTTACATTCATGCTTAACCTGTACTGTCTAATCTTGATATATTATTATTATTATTAATGCTTTAGTTACTGTAGGTCAAACCACAAGTCAAATTTACTTTGCCTTTAAAACTTGAAAGGGATTTTTTTCATTACTTATTTCCATTCGCCTATTTCTATAACAGATATAGTCCACTAGAAGTCAGTAGAGATCTTCCAATACAGTTGCGAGATCAAAATGAGAGAACAACCTTCAGTTTCCTAAATTTCAAGGTCACTGCTTAGTCATATTTGAAGTTATCCTAACTGAAGTAGAAGGACAGTTTTTAAGCATATTTAATAAATTAATTGTATTCTGAAGCCCAGTATAAAAAACTTAAATGAGATATTTGAAACAGAACTCTGATCAAAATTAGAGAACACTTACAGATGCATACAAGTTATTGGTGTTAATCTGGCACCTGGTGCTAATTTCCTTAATTATATGACAAACCAGGCAGCATTCCTCTAATTTTCTCTGAGATTGCACGATGGTAGGCAGCTCCAGATGAAGGCCCAAGGGATGACCATTTCAGACATGAAAAGCTGGTCGTTCCAAATCTGTGATTTCTTGAATATTGCAGCTTTACAGTAACACTAATTCATTCAAGTCCCGCAAAAAGCCTGGTCGTCCACGTAAGACAAAAGCACGAGAAGACAGGATAATGCAGAGACTCTCAATGGGGAACTGGTTCAACACTGCAGCTGAAAATGCTCAACAGTTCAGCACTGAACAGGGTCTGGATCGGTCTTGGCACATTTAAGAGAAGTCGGACTGAAAGCACACTCTGGAGTGACCAAGCCTCTCATCAGCAGGAATAATCAAAAGGCTAGGCTCACCTTTGCTGAGGAGCACGTTGTGTGGAGAGAGGAGAACTTGTCCAAAGTTCACTTTAGTGATGAGAGCAAGTTTAATTTATTTGGGTCTGATGGGAAACATTTAATTCGGCATCAAACTGAGGAAAGACTGAACCCCGAGTGTGTGAAAGGTGGAGGAGGAAGTGTCATGGTTTGTGGTGTGTTTTCTGCAGCAGGAGTTGGGTCTCTTATACAGATACATGGCAGGGTGAATGCAAATGTTTATCAGAACCTCCTTCAGCAACATGCGGTTCCTTCCCTGCAAGCATCTCCCAATCAGCCTGCACTTTTCATACAAGGCAATACTCCCATCACACTGCAAAACAGGTAAAGCATTTCCTTGAAGCTAAGAACACTGAAATAATGAAATAGCTGGCACAGAGTCTTGATCTAAACCCGAATCCTTGGTGACAAAGTTATGGCTAAGAAACCCTCTACAGTTACCGAACTGTGGAAGAGAGTGGAAGAAGAGCGGACCAAGATCACACCAGAGCAGTCTGAGAAACTAGTGATGTCCTGCGGCCTCAGATGTGCTGAAGTCATTCAGAGCAGGAGCCTCTACACTTCCTACTAATTTCTGACCGCTGTGTAACCATCCAAAATTTTAGTTTTCGTGCTACAGTGGTAACTGTTCTCCAATTTTGATTACGGTGTTTTCCACAAGATAAAGATTTTTGTTGAAATGCCTTGGATACTTTGTCAAACGTTAACAGTGGTATAACTACAGCTATAAACTTTGAGCGATAAAGATTAACAATATTTCAGAAAAAGTCAAATATTTATAGATTGTTCTCTATTTTGATCTCCATCGTTGTGTACTGTATAAAACACACACACACACACACACACACACTACACACACATTTGTTGGCTTTCCATGTTTTATGGGACATTCCATAGACATTTTTTACAGAAAAGGTGCCAGAGATCATTTAAACTGGATGGTAAACAGTTGAGTATTTCATAATAAACGTTTATTAATAGTTGGGACAGTATGAAGTATAGAACACATATTAGATGATGAATTTGTGTTATTTGATTATAGTTTTACCTTTGGGTAATATAAATCCCTTGACAGTCTATGATAAATGTATGTTGTTTTATATAATGCCCTCCGTAGAAATAAATAAAAAAGACCATAAAATAATTATGTGTCCTATAACAAATATCAAACCCAGAAGAAAGTCTTTCATGACTGGACTGGTCTGAAGAATGTGACTTTCATCATAACCATTATTGAGACCCTAAAATCAAACAACATGAAAGAAAGAGTCAATTTGCTTATCATATTGTTTGTGGCATACATATTCAACATTGGAAGTTTTTCTGTGTCACCTGTATGATCTCACAGACAGTTTACTGCTTGGGATAGAGACCTGTCTTCTGCACTCCAAAAGCGGTGATGAAGATGTTGATGATGACGGTGAGAAACACCAGCACAGTGGCCACATTGTTTATTATGTCCAGCTTCCTCTGATTGGCCACGTCATTCAGGTTTTTGCGTGCTGAAAAGGGAAGATTGTATGAAATGGAATCACTAAATATATGCACTAAAAAAATCTGATTTGGATTTGTGCTAACAAAAATGAACCTTCTAAAATCCCTTACAGGTTTTGTGTATAATGCATGATGGATTTCACTCTCACCCATGTGGACAAAGAGAGCCCCCGCGAGCACTTGGAAGAAGAGTGATGTGGCGATGAGGACGATGACAGTGAGGTAGTACTTGAACTCGGGGCCCTGCTCCAGGACGGCTTTCAGCTGAGAGGCGTTTGCCATCAGCAGCGCCACATCCAGCATGCTCTCTGCTACACTCTTCTTAGTGGCATAATGATTAATGTTGAGAGGTTCTGCAGGCTGAGAGAGAGAAATCAATAATACAATCAAATTAAATTATTAAATCAAATGAAAAAAAATTTTTTTGCTATTGTAATTAGCATTGAATGGCATTGAATCCACCTTTTATGGTACACATATATGAAGCTTCTGTTGGCACAGGTCGCAAAGTTCTGGCATGCATCTAATGGGTCTATTGTATAAAGAACATTTTCAGACTCATGTATACTAATTTCAGATGCATTAATTCACCTACAATGTGCTGGAATATTTTCAGTGGAGTAAAAAAAAGCCATCCACCTTGAACTAAATGAACCCATTTAAATGACAAAACCCCAGAGAATATTTTAAAATAAGTTCTTCTTGAGAAATTATTATTCTTGAGTTTTTTCCTCTTTTTTCACACAAATAGTTTATTTCATACACAAA